TTATTCCCATCTGCCCCACTCTCGATAATTTTGTGTGTTATGTCAACTGGGGTGATCAGGGATATTATTATTATTCCCATCTGCCCCACTCTCGATAATTTTGTGTGTTATGTCAACTGGGGTGATCAGGGATATTATTATTATTCCCATCTGCTCCGCTCTCGATAATTTTGTGTGTTATGTCAACTGGGGTGATCAGGGATATTATTATTATTCCCATCTGCCCCACTCTCGATAATTTTGTGTGTTATGTCAACTGGGGTGATCAGGGATATTATTATTATTCCCATCACATACTAGGAATAAAACCATTCCTTGAAGAAATTAAAAACAAACTTACTACAATGAAGTCATAAAGTAACAAAAACAAACAAACTGTACAACTGAACTTATACTACTTAACAATTGAAAAAGTGTACATTAATGTGATAAATGTGTGCTATGGTTTTTTTCCATAGTTCAGATCAAATTCACATGAATATCTTATTTGTTTAAGGCAATTTTAAACATATTCTTACCATTTTTGTGTTATGTTAGATTTTTGGAAGTTAGTTAATTAAATGTATTCAACTCTTCCATTATATAAATAATACATATAAAATAGAGAAATATTCCACATATTTATTAAAATAATGTTTACCAGCCATTTCCAAAATTTCCGTGTTGACCAGCTATTCTAGAAAATACCATTCATTTATAAAAAAAAAACAGTATATCTTCTAACCTTTAAAATGAAATTATCCTCTGGTTGAAGCTTAAGTTCAATGGCTGCTTTCCTCACTTCATTTTCCAGAACTGGATCTCTTTTTCTGGGGACTTCCAGGGATGGAAACAGATCTCCAATTAACCCCATAAAGACTGGAACATCGTCTGTTACAATCTTCGGGATGTTGAAATCTCTCAGAGCTCTCATCAACACCTGATGGCATCAGAAAGGTTTATATACTGTTTACATTCAGTGTAGACAAAATATATATATATATATATACATCCACTGTTACATTTTCCTAAAATGAAAAGATATTTCCAAATAGATACTTCCTCTCACAAAAAGCTTTCTCGATTAGTACTGATCTCTATTGGTGCAAATTGTTTTGCTCGCCACTAGCCTTGTAACTCCCACTTCTTTCTGCATGTCCACATGTAAATTATTATGCAACAAACCTCCACCAATAGGAGTGTGACACTACTTCTACCATAACTAGTGCCCTCTTTAATAATGCATCTGTTAATCACTTGGAGATTTGCCAAGATCAAGTCAACCAATACAATAGAAGAGGAGAGGACAGGTGGGAAATGTGAGAGGAGGTAAGTATCATTACGGAAATAAATTTTCAGTTTAGGAAAATGATTTTTAACTTTCAATACGATATCTTACCTCCTCTCACATAAGGTTAGAATCCCACATTGAAAAAGTGGAGGACTAGTGAAAAGATGATTTTCTTTTAGAAAGCACCCAAAGAAAGATCATGTGGTGTGTAAAAGGAATTAGAAAGATCACACCAGCAGAAGATCACACCATTTCTGAGCCAGGTATACCCATTGCCCCTTAATAAATTGTTGCCAAGAGAAAAGGGTGGTAACATGGATGGACTCCAAAATGTTTTCATCATTATTGTGACCCCTATGTGTCAAGTGGCTAGGGCACGGCAAACTGTAAATGGAAGTTTAACCTCAACCAATACATAGTGGCATAAGGAACCGTACATCAGTTCTGCAATAGAAAAAGAGTCCTCTTTCTTTCACCTCAAAAACAGATACTGAGAGGGAAGATGAACTTCGTACCAATAACCCATCTCCACATGTGCATTACTCCATCAGAACCAACACCGGACCCACCAGGAACCGACATTCAGCACATAGTTGGATGTAAGGAGACCTCAGGAGGCATTCTTTTCCAGTCCAAAACCTGGTGGCATTGGGAATATCACACCCAGTCTGCAGTAGGAACAGAGAACCCAGCCTTACACTTGTAGGAAGTCATTTGTTTCGTTCAGCTTCAAGAAACACCAAATCCACCAGGAACCAACATTCAATGAACAGTAGAAGGATGAAGAGAGACTCCAATGAGGAGTGCATCTCCAGTCCAAAACCTGGAGGCATTGGGAATTTATCGTCTAATCCACAGTAAGAGGAGGGTATCAGTCAAACACATTGAGGAATTATGTGACTGGATTGTCTTTAACCAACACCTGGCCCAACTGCGAACCAATATCCGGAGGATGATGAAAGGAGGAATATTTCAAACGAAGAGGTAAACTGCAATAACTAGAGATATGGTGGAGTGTTACAACTAAAACCTGGCAGCAGCTGGAATTGTACATCAAGTCCACAGTAGGAAGGACATCATGCCATTAACACCTGCAGAATGTTACCACCCTACTCTCAACTGAGTGGAATTGTGCTTCACTCAGAAGGAATGGCCCCCAAGGTCCACCACCCCTTCGGCTAAGAACTGGTAAGTGGCAAGGACTCCCATACTCCACTAGAAGAAAAGGGGGAACAAATACATTGGAGAGTCCAGAGACAGTGCAATAGGTGACCATAATACCATATTTTGAAAATAATTACTACCACGTGGACAGAATCGATCAACCAACACCTGGTGGCATTGGAATTTTAAATCAGGTCCACAATAATTAGAGATTCAATGCCACGGAGCATCAGAGATGGGTAGTAATCCCTATCTGCTTTACCCATGAAGTACATGAGTGTATATATAGGGTTGGTCCTACAGAACACCCCATCTCAACGGTGTGCATAAAATGAACCTGTGGTATGACTTGCTATTTTATGTAAGAATTACAAACATCCATGCATAGATGACAATAGGATGGAGTCAAACAACCAACATCTGGCAGCATCTAAAATTGTACATCAGGTTCGCAGTAGAAAGCACCACCACATTATGCTCCTCTAGCATGCTCACAGGATATACAGTGCAGATTTGAAACTAAGTATACCTGATCAGGCACCACTCGCTATAGTGCAGGATCCATATCCTATGAGCAAGAGGTCCCTGTAAAGGAAAAGAAAATGAGCACTTACCAGTCACTAAGAAACAGAAGTGTGTAAAATGGCAACTGGAGGTAAGCAGAAACCCACAGAGCAAGAAACAGCCATGTGATGGAAGTAGTGAGACATAAAGGTGTGTGTAATAGTCCACATACCTGTGCTGATGAAAATTAATTCTAATGTGTTAACATTTTGGGATTTATTCATGTCTTCTGCCTAGAAAAATATTCCTACATATTCTGGTAAACAGTTTAAGTAGAGTTCCTTGAATGAAATATAACAGCAAAAACAAATAAACTCTCTCATCAATACTGATTTTGTTTGTTTGATTGTTGAATTTTGCACAAAGTTATCTTGACTGTGCTAGCTTTCTCTATGTTTGAAGTGATAGACTATAGGAAAGGCAGCCAGTCAACACCACCCACTACCAACTATTTCACTATTCTGATCATATAGTGGGATTTAACAGCCACTCTTATAATACACCCACGGGCCCCAAAGTGCAAAACCATATTGATGTTTTGGTGGTAACAGGATATGTAAAACAGAGCCACAGATCCACAGTCTGGCACAACAACCACCGGGCCATGCTCGGCTACATTATCATAATAGAAAATATTACTATATTTGACCATAATATGAATGTCGAATACCAAATAAAATATTTTTTAAATTTGTAATTAATATAATTTATCTTCTGAACATAAACTTTTTATCCGTATTTAATCATATTTTTCTAAATATGAAGATATATCTATGCATGAACAATAAATTCATACTAAAGTCACTCATACTTCAGTTCAGTGAAAAATTAGAGTTATACTAACCTGATCTTCGGGTCTTTCAGGGTCACCACGTTTCAGAGATCCTGCTACCACTAACACAGACTTGATGGCTCTTAAACCCCAGTCGTAGTGATCTTGTTTAGACAACAGTTCCTTACAAAGTGTGTACAGGGTGATGAACTTGCGAGCCAATATTCTTGCTTCAATAAATCCTTCAGCTACTAACATAATCTCACAAATCAGCTCAAAATCTGGAACTACCATGGCACATGGTCTGTGATTCAGATATATATCAAATATCATTACCAAAGTTTATAATAAGACTACATATGAGTTATCAGTGAGAGCTACTGAACATCTCTGTTACGTTAATAATTTCAAACCAACACTCTTCAGTAATAGGTTAATGTAATACTAGCCAACATACAGAATAGGGTGACATTTTTTCACCATATACTGAGTTTGATAAATATAAGATGAATTACTCACTAATATAGCATTAAAAGGATTTTAATATTTTAACAATTACATTTAATATTGAGACATGTGCTATCTATGCTCCTTAATTTCAAACATCAGAATAAGCATACATATATATTTTATAAAATATAAGTTCAAGGTATCTAACCTAAAAAGGGCTTTCAAGTTTTCTGGAAGCTCTGTTCTTCCAGCATAACCAGGATTCATAGTGATAAATATTCCAACAGTTGGAATAAGAGAGATTTCTTCACCGAGGAAGTTAAATGTCTTCTTTTTATCCCGAATAGCATCTTGGACAGACTTTACCTAGGGAATAAACAAATCAGTGTATTGTTTTATATATAATATTAAATAACACACAACTTTAAAACAGACTTAATTTAAGTCTCTGAAAAAGTTGACTCTATATATTTTGATGCGAAGCTATTATCCTGCCAACAATCTCAGTAGTTTCTTTATGCATCTTAAACCTACTTATAACCTGTTTTGTTTACATAAATGTTCACCCAATGATGACGCTGTAATGTCAAACGGTGTAGAATCAACTTTTAGAGAGGCCGTAGATTGGCCTTAATTAAAAATCTTTTTAATCATGAACCCATTTTAACATTGTGTGTTATTTATTATTTTAACGTCACTCAGTGATTTACATGTAGTTCTACAAGATGTACATGTCCTATTATAACAGAACAAATGTTTTATTGTTTAATTTAAAAACAATGTAACAGAACAAATGTTTTATTGTTCAATTTAAAAACAATGTGACAGAACAAATGTTTTATTGTTCAATTTAAAAACAATGTTATAGAACAAATGTTTTATTATTCAATTTAAAAACAATGTAACTACTTGATATTGTATATATATATATATTAAGGTATGAAGTATATTTACTTAGCAAAATAACTTCAATTATAGTTTACACTAAAAATAGTTTGTTTGGTTGTGAATCTTACATGCGTTAAATAGTAATTTTGAAGTATCATAAAAATAATTTATTTAGAGAAGTGACACTGACACATTTCAGCACTTTAACCAAACACATATATTAGTAAGTGATACCATATTTTTCAATTTATAATCAAATAATTGAGCACTGCATTTTTTTCTCGCTGACTACCTCTGGTTTTTAATAGTTCTGTATTTTTTCCATATTCATGTTCTAGTAATGCATTTGTACAAGTAATTTCTATAGTTTCCAACTGATTATAAACACATACTATAGGTATTTTCAAGTCAGAATATAACCTCCAATCTTCTTCCTTTACCGAGATATAAAAACAATGTCAAGCTCACTTGAGAAACCCCTCTATTCTCTCTTTCTCTCTCTCATATTACTATTGAATTATTTATAATCAAGAGAAAAAGTGTTTTTAAAGTTTTCTTACACTATCATTTTATGTTGGTACCCGTAATCAGATATTTAGACTTAGTTTTATTGTTTGTGATATTGTGTTTCTGTTCTGGGCTTTCTCTATGTCCTGGAACCTTGCTGGACATTTATCTGCTTCTCTACTTCACTCACTCCTTTTATTCTCACTGAACAACGTAGAATCAATCCCCCCAGCAAATCTTAAAAAATATCACAAAATTATCGAGAGCAGAGCAGATTTCAAGATAGTAATAACTGCTAGAGAACAATGTGTACAAAAACCGTATCTAGGAACTATGATTTCAAGATAGTAATACACATACTGCTAGAGAACAATGTGTACAAAAACCATTGTTTAAACACTATAAACTGTGTATTAAATCTTAAACCTTTGTTATTCTACAAGATTTTGTTATCATCCATTGTTTAAACACTATAAACTTTTATTTAAAATACCACATTCTGAACATGACTGTAGCTCATCTGTAATGTTAGGAGAATATTAAAAAATGCAGAGTAACTTTTCAATTGTGTTTGATAAACTAAAACAGAAAACCATGTACTCATCAGTCATAAGAATGGTAAAGGCTATATAATAGTATATGAACTTGCTTTTAACACAATAGCTTAGATAAGCAGTTTATTACTTGTATAAAACATTGTTTAGGCACAAATAAATATAATAAGCAACTGCTCTTATCCACAGTTTCAATTAGTATTATGAAGAATTCAGAGTTCCTAGACACGGATGATAGCAAAAAAGCTTGTAGAATAACAAAGGTTTAAGATTTAATACACAGTTTATAGTGTTTAAACAATGGATGATAACAAAAGCTTGTAGAATAACAAAGGTTTAAGATTTAATACACAGTTTATAGTGTTTAAACAATGGATGATAATAAAAATCTTGTAGAATAACAAAGGTTTAAGATTTAATACACTGTTTATGGTGTTTAAACAATGGATGATAATAAAATCTTGTAGAATAACAAAGGTTTAAGATTTAATACACTGTTTATGGTGTTTAAACAATGGATGATAACAAAAAATCTTGTAGAATAACAAAGGTTTAAGATTTAATACACTGTTTATGGTGTTTAAACAATGGATGATAATAAAATCTTGTAGAATAACAAAGGTTTAAGATTTAATACACAGTT